AATGAAGAAATCAAACTTACCAGCAATAAAAATTGCTTCTCCTTTCTCACGATAGATGAGAACTGATTTGTCAGCTTTATTTTAAAATTTTTTGTCTGTTCTTATTTAATAAAGTAACTATGAGAACATTGTGATTATTGAGTAAGAGCTGGCAATTCTTCTTTTTTTCTTTTATTTATTTATTAGAAAGTAGGAGTGTTCATGAAAATACAAAGCCTGGGAATTTCTAAAGATAACTCCACCCTCACATATTTTTTGAGGAAATGATTTTTGTCTATTTTGAACAATGACGCTTAACACAATTGAAAGTTGGCACATTTTTGGTAAACAGCATCTTCCTGGCAGTGTGAAGTCTACTGCCTGTTTCTTTTGAGCCAGACTTTTCAGTATCATTTTGAATTGCAAAACATCAAAGTTTCTTTCACAGTATTCTTTGTACATCTTTAGAGAATCTGGATGGAAAGGAATTTTCATTTTAATTTAATAAGCAATCAATAATAACAGAAGTCAAAATCTTTATTGCAATATTTGGAATATGCCTGGCCACAGGAAAATACATGTAGCAAATTACACACAGAAGTGTAACATAATGTATCAATATTTACTTTGATATTTCCAGAATATATATCTCAGACATTTAAAAAGGCAGGAGGCTAAAAATGGTAAGAAAAAATAATACCTCTTCAATTTCTGAATTATGCAGCCAAAGTGAAAAATGAAAACCTCAGTCATCCTTTATGTGGATTTTTTTTTTTCAAAAATTCTGGCTTTCAACAGATCTACTTGACTCTCCTCTGGAGAACAAGATCTCTGAGCATGGTACCAACAGGTTTGTGTGCTAAGTTGCTTCAGTTGTGCCTGACTCTTTGTGACCCTATGGACTGTAGCCCACCAGGCTCCTCTGTCCATGAGATTCTCCTTGCGAATACTGGAGTGGGTTGCCATTTCCTTCTCCAAGGGATCTTCTCGACCCAGGGAATCTTCCTGACCCAGGAATCCAACCCTGTCTATCTCCCGCATTGGCAGGTGGGTTCTTTACCAATGGTGCCACCTGGGAAAGCCACAGGTTAGCTTCAGGTTTAATGCACTTGAAAAGGAAAGAACAAGATGGGGTCTATTTCTTTGCACATTCACATTCACAATGGAGATGTCTGAGCACTGTCAGCTAACCAACTCAGTGTCACTTTGAAATACACATTTATCTCATACAGCCGTTCTCTTAGAATGACAAACTTTGATCTTGGGGACAGAAAAGAAGAATATAACTGTCTGTTAGGGCTTTAGCATATTCACCAATTATTCATATGATCTCTGTTGGCCTTTAAAATATGTCACATCCTACTTAACTTCTAGGGAATTCTTACCCACTAACCAACAATCTTGGCTTCTTCTGTCCTGTCCTGATGAAACCTGACTTAAGAACAAGTTAAAGCACCATTGGCATATCTCTGTCTTTTTGTCTAAGGAAACAAATATATCATAACATTTCAGGAATGAAATGCTCAGGACAACAAAAATTATCTTACACAGTTACTAAACCTATTCTCCAATCCTTGTGGGATATATGTTTTGCCAAGTATTAATCCTTAATAAATATGCAACAAATAATGTTTTCAGTGGAAAGAAAACTTGTTTCAAAACATTTACATCCTTATATTTATGTAATCGCATAAATCACAGTGCTTTTTCTATGTCAATTTTGCATGATTTTATTTTTAATAAAATAAATAGAATTAATAAAGGTATGCATGTTCTTTGAGAAAACACATCATGACAATCTATTCAGAAAATGGTACTTCCAACCAAAGTGGACAGGAGTAGTTCAGTCTATTCAGATCTAGGAAGCATTGCTAAATCTTGTGTGAGTTCTAAGGTGTCTGTGATTTCCTCTCATTCCTTTGTGGGTATTATTCCGCTGATTTTTGGCTTCTGCTGTTACTGTTGAGAAGCCAATTGTTAGTCATTCTGGTTGTTAAAACAATCTCTGCAGTGTTTTTCAATTCCACAGATGTGTCTAGTTGTAGATTTATTTTATTTATCCAATCTAGGATTTACTGTGAGAGATCAAGTCTTTTACCAATTTTGGAAAATACCTAGCCAAATATTACTTCTTTTTTTATATTCTCCCTTTTCTTCTAAAATACCCATTAGACATATATTGGACATCTAAATACTGTCCTTTGAAACTTTATTTCACATTTTTGGTCATATTGATCTAGGTAATTTCCTTAGCTCTGCTTTTTAATCCAGTAATTATTTATTCAACCGTGTCCAGCTTGCCAATCAACTTTTCTCATGAAGTTTTTTCACTTTACTGTCTGTATAATATTTATTTCTAGGCCACTTTGGTTTGTTTTTAAATCTTCCTAGTCTTTTTTTGATAGTAAATTGTTCTTTTGTTAAGTTTTTAAATTTTATATTTTGTATGTTTAATTATAAAAAAGCCTGTATTTATAGTTTCTATTGTTTCAATTTCTCATAGGTCTATTTCTACTATTTGTTGTTTCTGCTTTTTACTTATGTTGGTTATTTACATGTGTGTCTCAGAGTTTACATGTGTGACTTCTGAGTTTATATTTGCTGGGCTTTTTCCTTTGAAATTCCGTGTAATGTTTGCTGTGCAGATAGCTGAAGATTTTGTTTTTGTAAAGTGCCATACCAATGCAGTATTACTTTTAATTTTTTAATTAAATGAATATAAACTAGTTTATAAATGATTTATATACATTAGAAATTACTATTTTATATTAATTACTTACCACTTGGTGCTTCCTGGTTTTTGAATTCTGAATACTCAGGAGTACCTTCCTACTAATCCCATGAGAAGGCCAGACTTTGATAGATTAATTTCCTGTTATAATCCTATTTTGGTAGGCAGGTTTATTTTTGTGGTTCGCCCTTTCACTGAATGTATAGCCCTTGCAGGTGCTCACTTCATGGAAGGTCTCAGTTCTAAGTCCTGGCTCCTGCAAGCCCAAGGCTTTGTCTCCAGTTCTTATATTATCATGAAAACATAAGTAACCTGTAAATCTCTGGTTTTATGCATTTTATTCAGTTTTTGACTACTAGAATTTACTTTTTCCCCCAAGCTCTGCTATGCATGCCATCTCATATTTCACTCAGTATGACTGGTTTTTCAGATTATCTAGCTTGCTATATTATATAAGTTCTATGAATATATACATGGGTATAAATACACAGAGAATATACCTTTAAAACTTGAAGAATTTTTTTCCTGCCATGAAGATAAATTGTCATAGATATTAAACAACTGTGCAGGACTTGTCAGTGGCTTATTATGTTGACAAATTAATATTGGGGGAAATAGCTAAGACTATTAGGGATTATTTTATTATGCCACTTTAGGTTTTCATATAAGATTCATAGAAATGCATTTATTTAGTAAGCATATAGCTAATGTAGTATATAACTTCATCTACTGGCCAAAAATATACTTTTTTTTTCCCCAGGATAAATTTCAGAAAAAGATTCTTTGTCTATTGTAGCAAAAATGGAAGAAAACAACAAAACTTTAAAGGAACTTTAAGTTTCTGTTTGTGGACCCGAGTTTTCTGCATTAGCAGCACGGTTATACTATGGTCGGTGGTTGCAACTCACCAAAGGAGTAAAAGAGAAATTTCCATTTTCTTAAATTCTTATTGTCAGGGTGAGATGTGGGCTTAATAATTTTGATCAGAAAACAAATAGAAATGCTGGCTAAAATCAGACTGTAAATTATCTCAATAGGATGTCATGAAATGTAGGCAGTGCCTAGGATAGCACTCTTCGGGAATTACACAGTTTTATTTTTATGATGCAAAATACAGAAAGCATATTCTATAAGCTAGATCCTTAGAAAAGTTTACTAGTATGGAGTGGGATCTAATTTTGTCTCTTTCTTGGATTTTGTTTTATGAAAATATTGAGAAAGTCATTTGGTTTGGTTAACTTCAAATCTTTCTGCAAATTTCACTTTCTCAGTGAGCTATATCCCCCACCCCCTGTATAATACTGTAGCTTACTCTTCTCCTACTGCTCCCTACGGCTCAGACACCCAGTCCCCTTATCCCACCCTACTGTTTTTCCTACAGCATTTATCCCATCTAATATGCTATGTTCTTATGAAATCCTGCTTCTTGCTTTTTGTCTGTCTCCCCCTCACTAGAAAGTTAAAATCTATCAAGGGCAGGAATCTTTGTGTTTGCTTACTAATAAAATGCCAGCAACTAAAATAGTATCTGGGGCTTTCCTGGTGGCTAAGTGGTAAAGAACTCACCTGCCAAATGTAGGAGATGTGGATTTAATCCCTGGTTCAGGGGGATTCCCCCATGCTGTGAAGCAACGAAGCCCATGTACCACAACTACTGAGTCTGCGCTCTTGAGCCCACAAGTTGCAGCTCCTGCAGCCTTAGGAACCTAGAGCCCGCGCTCCACCGCAAGAGAAGCCAGCACAGTGTGTGTGCGTATTAGCAGCTCAGTCGTGTCCGACTCTGTGATCCCGTGGATTGTAGCCCGCCAGGCTCCTCTGTCCACGGGGAGAAGCCCGCAAACCACAACTAGAGAGTAGCCCCCGCTCTCCACAACCAGAGAAAAGCTTGCGCAGCAGTGAAGACCCAGCACAGCCATAAATACATACATAAGTAAATAAAATAGTATCTGTCACTTTGAGGTGCTCAAAAATTGCTCTTGATGTAAATGAACAGTTTTTTATTTCCCTGTTATAAATCAGAGTGGTGATTCAGGGCCCCTCATTTCCTTACATAGATATATGGATACAAATGTGAATGGTGTATGCCAAGTATATTGATTTCACTGAAAGAAAGCTATCATTTATAGGACACCAATTACCATTTTTTGGGAGCATAAGCTGAGCTGACCTAGCCTTTCAATGTCTTAACATCTTAAATTTGTTAGGAAGTATATGGTAATTTTCCTTAAACGATCTCTGTTCTAGAGCAACAGAAAAAATACAATGTTCTGCACTTGGGAAAAGGTCATACCTCATTTTTTTCCTTGAGTTTTGTGATCATAACAATCACGGGACTGTCCTCCTGCCAAACCATCTGCCAGAAATCATTCACGGTGTTGATCATGGGGCCCTGTGTGGCGATGAATGCTTTCTCTTTGCCACTGTAGCCCTAGTTTGAGAAAAAAAGAAAAAATGTTGGCTTTGAAGTCCATGCCTTGCACTGGAAGTTTAGGTGAAAGATCTTCAAAACAAAGAAACTCTGCAGGTCCAAAAGCTACACAGACTTTTGAGGCTTCATTGATTCTAGCACCACTATTCTTGTGGTTGTTCTCTCAAGTCAAGCATAGCACACGGTACTGAGGGTTGTGAAGCTTAGTCCTCCCCAGAGCACCTCAGAGGGAGCACTCTGGCCACAGACACACAGGAAAGGAAGACCTACCAACATTGATTATGACCAAGCGAGCAAAACAAAACTTGCTAGTAACCAAGTTAAATCAAAATTAATCTATTCTGAGGGGTGAAAAAAAAAAACCCCAACAATTCCAGATAGTAAATCGACATGCTTATCAGAAAGAAATTTAGGTTTATTTACTTACCCTAATATAATTAGCATTGATGTAAGTGCTCAATGAATCAGTTACATTTTTTGGTCTTAAACATACTCTACTGAGGGGATCTAATGAAGAAAACAAGAAAGAATAGGTTAACCAGATTTACTCTTTAAAGTTTCTTAGAATGTCAATGGGGCTCCCCTGGTGGCTCAGATGGTAAAGAATCTGCCTGCAATGCAGGAGACCTAGGTTCCACCCCTGGGTCAGGAAGATCCCCTGGAGAAGGGAAGGGCAACCCACTCCAGTATTCTTGCCTGGATAATCCCATAGACAGAGGATCCTGGTAGGCTACAGTCAATGGGGTTGCAAAAGTCAGATACAACATAGGGCTACATAGAGTCAGACATGATTGAGCATGCATGTATCTATCATCACTTTTCCGTGTGTACATAGAGTACATACTCTAGTCACAAGGGCCAAGGGCAATCTCCCAACTACTCCACATTCTTGCAGATTCTCTGTTTTTGCGCATATTGTTTCCCTGACACGGCAAGTCGTTCTCATTCTTCAGGGCTCAGTTCAAGAGATACTTCCTTCCTTGTCTTCCTGGCAGAATTAGGCATTCCGTTCTTTGCTCAGGCTGGTTGAATTTTATTTTAGTATTTAATATCTTGTATTTTAAGTGCTTTGATTCTTGCTTGCCCTCAATGGATTACTATGAGCCCCTTGAGAACAAAGGCTGTCTTTAATTAACTTTTATATCTTTCATGATTTCTACTTGATATGTGGCTCAGAGTGGGTTTAATATCAGAATTAATTTCAATTAGAAAGAGTTTTCTTTTCTAAAAGAGAATGCTTTTCTTCTAGGTTTGTCTCCTTTCATAGCAAAGGGGACGAGAAAACTATTTCTTTTCAGTATCCACTGATTGTTAAAAGTTTCCACAAATGGCCTAAACCACTCACACTTGAAAAGAAGCCCACTTCCTTCAGTTTTTATAATGCCTATGATGTATATGATTTACTGGGAACTCAACCCCAAAATTGCTTAGAAGCAGGTTCCTTGTCAAGCTAAACTAAATTTATGTTGAAAACTGGTAATTTACAGTATTTCCAAACATTTAGAGATTTTGAAATACTTAAAAAAATACAATATACAATACAATACAATATATAATGGAGTAGGAGAAAATGAAAATGAATTGAAGCCTTTTTAAAGCTAGTTTAGTCTAATAAAAAGCCAAATAATAAAAAACAGAATTTTGTCATTATTGCCATCATGTATTACTGTTTTCATCTTTACTGTTATGATTTTATTCATGCAGTGCATGAATTCAATGTTACATTGGACACTGATCACATTTGCTCCTCTCTCCTGCTCTTCTCTTTTTATTTCCTTTGCTTTCTTCCTTTCATTCTTTTTTCTCTTCCCTTCTTCCTTTCATCCTTTTCCTTCCTCCATCCTTCCCTCTCTTCTTCTTTCCTTCTTGTTTCTCTTTTCCTCTCTACAAAGTATTACACACACATAGGTCTAGTGTACAGAACACATGAAAGTCTGCCCTCTTCTCCATCTCTTTAAAATACCTCTGACAATCTTAAATCTTCTATTTAATAGACAAAATGATACCTGGATCCTGATATTTTGATTAGAATCATATCAGATTTTGTCAAAGGTTATACTGGGCTGACGCAGTGCACATGAATTTGAGCAAACTCGAGGAGACAGATGACGGAGGAGCCTGGTATGCTGCAGTTCTTGGGGCTGCAAAGAGTTGGACATAACAGCAACTGAACACCACATACTGGTCTGAAGATTTCCTCTTCAGGAAGAAACGTGTTTAAGGTTTGAAGTCAGAGAGGAAGCTATTAGATAAGGAAAAAGCATGTCACTGCTAGTGATGGACAAAGGCAGAGATGAGAGGAAGAGGATAGTTCTCAGAGATGAATTCAGGAGAAGAGGGAAATGGAAGGAAGGGCAGGGACTGGTCACACCTTCAAGGTGATTGGGAATCACCTTCAAATTTGTTGAGGAAGAGAGAGAAGAATCTAGGCCTGCTTTGTCCAATATGGTAGCCACTAGGCACGTGTAGGTAAATTTAAGTTAATTAAAACAAAGCAAAATTTAAAAGTCAGTTCCTTGGGACTCCCCTGCTGCTCCAGTGGCCAAGACTCCACGCTCCCAGTGGGCTGCCCAGGTTCTATCCTTGATCAAGGAACTAGATCCCACATCCTGCAACTAAAGAGCTCGAATGTCACAACCCAAGGTCCCACGTGCCACAACTAAGACACAGCACAGTCAAATAAAATAAATAAATATTTAAAAAAATAAAAATAAGCTGCTTTCTTTAAAAAAAGTCAGTTCCGTGGGGGTGCACTCACTAAACTTCAAGTGCTTATTGCCACATGCAGCTAATGACTGTCTCATGGGAGATACGGGCTTCCCAGGTGGCGCTAGGGGTAAAGAGCCCACCTGCCAATGCAGGAGACCTAAGAGACACAGATTCGATCCCTGGGTCAGGAAGATCCCCTGGAGAAGGAAATGGCAACCCACTGCAGTCTTCTTGCCTGGAGAATCCCATGGACAGAGGAGCCTGGCGGGCTACAGTCCATGGGGCCACAGAAGAGTCAGAAGACTGAGCACTCAGCACACACGGGAGATATAGAACATTTCCCTCATTGTACAGAGCTTTTGTGGACAGCGGTGATTTTGCCAATGCAGTGATGGTTATTATGTGAAAACAGGACTCTAGTACTCTGTTTCTGAAACTGTAAATGTTCCCATAGTTAGCGCTCTTAATATCTGGAATTGTTTCTGGGATTAATGATGAATTCACTAGGAAGATAAAGAAAGGAGAAACTAACATTCGCTGAGGGCTTACTGTTTCTTGGAACTTTCCAAGCCATTTTCACATATGATTACGTAATTCTTTCAACAGCCGTATAGGGTAGTATGACTGCTACTATTTTTAAGGGCAAAGAAAGGCTGGCACAGAAAGATGAAGTAGCCTGCCATAAATTGTAAATATTTTCGCCAGGATAGGAAATCAAGTCTAACTCCAATATTGTGCTTGAGTCATACAACTTGTTGCCTTAATGAGTGGTTCACTGATTTGCATATCTACTCTGTTCTAGGAACATAATATAATAAAACAGAAAACATAATGAAGTAGGAAACATTACTAGACGTTACACTTTTAAATAAAAAGTGATGACCAGAGTAACTAAGATTTTAAAACTTGATTTATATTGTTTTATAGTTGTATAAATAAACTGAATGGAAGAAATATACATACAAATTCTTTGTTGTACAAATAATTTCACACTGATACCAGTTTTTTCCCATGGCTCTTGCATTTAAGACAAAGATATTCTCATCACAATATTTGTTTATATTGTAAAATAATTTGATATAAATTTGACATGAGCACTTTAATCTGCCACTTAAGAATGATCAGAGCCAGGCTGACATTGTAGATAGAAAAAAAAAAAGCTACAATTTAATTAGTTGTTGGCCATCCATATTTCTGCTGCAAAACATCCTCCAAATTACACAGTCTCACTAATATGCACAAACTGGAAGCTTTTAAACTTAAGGGTTAATTGTAGGTTAAAAAATAAAAACGATTAGAATATTTAAAATCTTATTCATTTAAAAATTATTTTATGTAATATTTCAAACTTATCCCATCATACAGTCTAAAATAAACCATAAACAGCAGATTTTCATATTCATTCCCATCTTTTCTGATGATTTTCCAACCAGTGATGTGACTTGTCCATGCTATATTTACTAGATTATATCTTGCATGACAGGGGGTTGGGTGGGGTATTCAGGTTACAGACATTTTCAACAGAAAATCCGTCATTTGCAACATCATTTGTCAGCACAGGTGCCCTGGTTCAAGTGACCCACCCAGTTCTGGGAATGGAAAAGCTGACATAGGACGATGAAGCAGTTGTCTGATAGCATCTGGGCAGGAAACAGAGAAGGCTGAACTTTAAAACAGTCCTAATAATTTCCAAATCCTTCTGAGATTAGGTGGTGAAGTATAATAATTGCAATGCATGTTTATGCCCTACTTACTTGTGTTTGGTAAATTTGAGATGAAAAAGCCTGAGAGAGAGAAATACCAGATGTAACACACAGCACTTTCATCCCCTTCAGCCAATTATTATTACAAAATATCTTTCAGCAATGACTGTATCTTAGGTAAACAGGTTTAACTATAAAGATCAGTTAAAAATATGTTACTGTGAAGTAACTATTACAATGTGCTTCCAACTCCAACAGAAGGGGAAGCGCATGAACACTATTAATAGTAACTCTTGCTCTATTAGCATAAATATGGAGAATTTGGAGGTTTATGGATGAAATAATAAACTGAATTATGAAAACTCTACTATTTCAATGTTAATACATTGAAACAAACCTTTGTGGCTCCATCTTTCCAGAGTTATTGCCTTGAGATGTTTATGGGTTTTGTCAGGATCCCAACCAATCTGTTTGTTTAGTGATGGACAATGTTGCTTCCTCTCCAAAGTATTTTTGCCTTTTTAGGCAGAATTGATTACTCCATCCTCCTGCACCACTTGGGCAACATTTCTATTCGGCTGTTATTGTTGTTTAGTTGCTAAGTCATGTCCTCTGAAACTCCATGGACTCTTACATTGGACATAATTACTCATTACATGTATCTTCTCTGGTCCATGACCTCTTTGATATTATATGATCTTCCTTATTCTTTCCTGGTTCCTGGCATTTAGCTCACTGCTTGACATCGATAAATTTCACAGTTAAATTTGATTTTAAAATAGTCTAAGCAGTGTTTCTCAAAGTGTGGTCCTGGTATCACTTACATCAGAATCACCTGTTTGCCAGAAGTACAGATTCTTGGGCCCAACAGAACCCACTTAAACAGAATCCTCAGGGTGGAGCACGGGATGCCACATTTCTAACAAGGACTCGGGTGATCGCTATGCATAATGAAGTCTTTCCGTAAAAAGCATTTTCTGGAGACATAATTCATATACCATACAATTCCCTGTGTGAGGTGTACCATCACAGAGTTTATTTTTATTTGTTTAATTCACAGAGTTGTACAACCATCATTGATGAAAGGCACGTGGGCAGATGTGTTTGGGTTTGAACCTTGCTTCTTTAATATCTATAAATCTCAGTTTTCCTCCTCTGTAAGAAAGGAACAGTAATATCTTTCCGAGTTGTGAGAGTGACACTTAGCACTTTATCACGTGCAAAGCCCTGGGCTTTACAACAGCCGTGTGACGTGGATACTCCTACTTCTATCTCGCAGATGAAGTTAAGGAATTTACCCAAGGCCATCGAGTAAGCGCTCCAGCTGGATATGAACCCCAGCATTCTGGCTCTGTAGGCAGCCCTATAGACTCTTTTCTGTAAAGATGCGAGATAAATATTTCTAGCAAGGGCAACATTTTCATTATCCCCCAAACAAACTCCATGCCCTTTTCTTTTCTCATGCCTCCCAACACTTCTATCACTACAGATTTGCCTAACTGGACACTTCATATGAATGGCCTCATGCAATATGAGGTTGTGATGGCTTCCTTCACTTAGCATAATGTGTTCAGGGTTCATCCATGTCGTGGTATGCATCAGTACCTCATTGCTTTTTATTGCTGAATAATACTATATTATGTGAACATACAACATTTTATTTATCCATTCATTAGGTGATGAATATTTTGGTTGATTCTACCCTTTGAGCTATTATGAGTAATACATTTGTGTACAGCTTTTGTGTGGACACATGTTTTTATTTTTCTTACATATATACCTAGGAGTAAAATATCTGAATCATATATTAACTTTAGGTTTTACCTTTTGAGGAATTACAAGATTGTTCTTCAGTAGCTGTACCATATTATATCCCTACCATCAAAGTATGAAGTTTCCAATTTTTCTACATCCTTACCAACACTTTCTACTATCTTTCTTTTAAATTATGATTATGTGGATATGAAGTGGTATCTCACCACGGTTTTGATTTCCCTGATGCCTAATGGTGTCAGGCATCTTTTCATATGTTTGTTGGCTATTTGTATATCTTTTATGGAGAAATGTCTATTCAAGTCCTTTGTTCATTTTAAAATTGAGGTATTTGTCTTTATGTAATTGAGTTATAAGAGAGTTCTTTATATATTATAGATACAAAATCCTTTATTAGGTGTATAATTTATAAATTTTTCTCCCAATTTGTGTCAGTGTCATCTTTTAAGTTTTTTATGGGTTGGGAAGATCCCCTGGAGAAGGAAATGGCAACCCATTCCAGTATTTTTGCCTGGAGAATCCCATGGATGGAAGAGCCTGGTGGGCTACAGTCCACGGGGTTGCAAAGAGTCGTACATGACTGAGCGACTTCACTCACTTAGAAGCACAAAACTTTTAAAGTTTGATCAAGTTCAATTTTTTTTTCTTTTGTTGCTTATACTTTTGGTGTCATATCTAAGAAACTATTGATGAATTCAAGGTCATGAGGATTTACATCTGTTTTATGTGAAAAGTTTTATAGTTTTGGTTCTTACATTTAGGATATCCATTTTGATCTTATTTTGAATTAATTTTTGTATGTTGTGTGAGGCGTTATTTTATTTTTTGCATGTGGCTATCCAGTTTCTCAGCATCATTTATTGAAAAGATTATTCTTTTCCTCCGAATTATTTGATACCCTTAGTGAAAATTAATTGACCATAACGTGTGCTACAGTAAAGTTTAGAACCATAGGTCTACTGGAATTGTGAGCAGACCATTGTAACAAGAGTAATACAAGATAAAATTATTAACATTTGCCCACTCTAATGGTTATTAGTTTTTTTCTTCTTTTGGCCGTACCACTTGCAGGATCTTAGTCCCCCGACCAGGGATTGAACCTGGTCTTAGCATGAAAGCACAGACTCCTAACCACTCCACCGCCAGGGAATTCCACTTTAATGATTATTAGTCTTGAGCTGTGTTTGCAATTCCAAATTTGGTGTGTATATGGAAGTTGTGAGGATGGGAAACGTTGAGGGAGGGGTACGACACAAACTAGTTAATTCAAGAAACTTACTTGGCAAAATGGTCTTATAGCGATTTTTGGTTCCATGACGTGGAATGTCAATTTCTTTGGGATCCACAAAGTTCATTGGTATTTCCTGCAAAAATAAGTGATATAAAATACTGTATCTAATGCTGCCACAAAGAAAATCTTCATGGGGGGCCATCTGATTCAGAGCTTTATTGGACTTCAAAGTCATTTATGAAACAACAGACCACCACCTCTGGTTTGCCAACACCCTTCCTTTCCCAAACACATCAGCTGCACCCTGACAAGCTGACTCTAAGAAATGGCTTTGTGTGTTAGACAGTATTATTTGATATGTAGTTTTTAAAGAGACATAGAAATGTTCGGTTAGGTTTTAAGAATCCTGTTCTGACATAATTTCTGGGAATTTATAAACAGGTGGCTGAAAATTTTTTTTACAGTGTATTTAGATTTCTTCCAATCTTTGTGTAGATTTAATACTAAATTTTTTTTATTATGATAGATTCTGTTTTAACATTAATTGTGACTCAGGATTATGAAAAACTTCCCCTCAAATGGTAAATATAAAGGGCATTTTTGTTGATTTAAATAATAATGATATGATGCATTTCTGTATTAAGAAATGGTTTTTAATTTTACTCGTCCATTTCTGGTTATAAATGCAATATTTGTAGTGAAGGGCATTTAGACACTGTCTTCTAGCAATTAACAAGAATACAAATGTATTTATTAAGTCAGAAAATATGCCAAATGATGAAGAAGGGAACATTTAGAGCAGGAGTCACTCTACATGTTAGACCTAAGAGGTGAGCATCTGATGCTGACTGGAACAAAGGAAACAATAAGTCAAAGTTTTCAAAAGGTTCTAAACAAATATTTAAGGAGCTGATTATACAAAATGGTACGTTCTCTAACTTAAAATTCTGCAAAGGATTGCTTAGACAAATGTGAATTAAAATACCTTTTATCCCTGGATCACATAAAATAATATTTTTGTTACCTACACTTTCTCCAAAAGAAAATAAAACTTGACAGCCTAGTATTCATTGAAATGAAAGAACTTATCTACAAATTTATTTAAATTGTCCTTGTTTTCAGGCAATCTGAAAATTCAAGAAAAGCCTGACTATACTATGAATTTAAGACTTGGTCCATAGAGAGGAGAAGCTTACTTTAAAAACATCATTTCTGAAACTTGCATTATTTTAGACATTTATAATTTATTCCTGTTCTTTGCTCCAAATAAATGTTAAAAGTTCATATTTTCAAGTTACCAAAGTAAGCAAAATTGTTGACTGTTCAATATAAACCACATGTTTATGCTTAGTAATTTCAAACAGGTTAGCCTGTTTTGGGAAAGTCGTGATTAGCTTTATTCCTCCCATTCTTTCTTGTTTTCTGACACACACTGACAATTTATCATCTTCTAGCATCCTCTCCTTGTATTCATTGTTGGCCTCATCTTCCCTTTCAGGGAAGTAGTCTATGTTAAAGGCTTACCTCACTGAACTATCTGCAGTTCAAGAAACATACCTTTGGCCACTGACATGATCACTGATTGGTTTGTTTATCCCCCCAGGTTTCATTTTTTTTTTTCATACATAAAGAGATGACATGCTACAAAGTCTAATTTTTAAAACTACATGCTTGGTATTTTACTTTGGACACTTAATAGTTGATGAAGTAATAGATCAAACCTATGGCTGGCTCATGAAAGTGTGGTTGCAAACACCTGACTTACCCTCAAGTGTTCAATTTATCATACCCAATGGATATGCTTAAAATGTACAACTGCTTTAAGATGCAAGTGGTTCTATAAAATGGATATTCCCCTTGGGAAACAGTTGGACCTAAGAAGGTCTAATGTGTCTCCATGCTCTCTGGATAAAATGTGTTTTATGCATTAAGTTATTACCAGCAACAATGATAGGTCATCATCATTTTTAGCTGAATGAAACTCACCATTATTTTTAGCCTACATTTAGTCTTCCTTTTGTGTTTCTTATTTCATTAAAAGGCACTATGTGCACCCTGTTGCTAGGTCTAAAAATGGGGATGTCTTTCCTAACCTCCTTTTTTCTTGGCTGACTTACCTCATTAAGGCCACTTCTTACAGACTCCTATAGACCCTTCCAATTTTCACTGCTACTTCTTTAGTTTTGACTAATCATAGCTTCATAGGATAATCTCTAGAGTCTCCAAAATACCTCTTTCCAATGCAGACTCTACTGCCCATAGTAATTTTTAAAAGCTTTTTATTTTATATTGGAGTATAGCCTATTAACAATGCTGTGATAGTTTCAGGTAGGCAGCAAAGGGACTCAGCCATACACGCGCATGTATCCGAGCTCCCCTAAGCTCTCTCTCATCCGGGCTGCCACACAACATTGAGCAGAGTTCCCTGTGCTATGCAGTAGGTCCTTGTTGCTTCTCCATTTAAAATATAGCAGTGTGTACTCTCGATCCCAAACTCCCTAACTGGATAGTAACTTTTTTAAACACAAGATAAATCCAAACCCTCAGTAACATATGAAGTCTTAGATTTGTTTTATATCTGAGGCTCAATTTTTGTTACTTCCCATTTTAATTTTAATGCTCCTGTCAAGTTGAACAATTTAATTTCCCAAATAGTGACAAGCAAGCCTGCTCTGTCATCCTGGAATGGTCAGCTCATTCTTGCCGCTTCTTTGCCTGGCCAGCTTCTATACCCTCTGCCTTAATTTAGGTATCATCCTGGTTTGAACACTCACCAATAGTTGATGAGATGCAGGGTGGACCTGAAATCTTTGCACTTAACCTTTAGAACTGTAATCATTTTACTATGAGCTGACAGTGTCATTTTGGAATGTGCCTCTAGTGGCTAGAATATCAAAATGCCTCCTGAAGAGTGAATAACAAACAGCCAGCTTACCATGAATTCACTTTGGAGTAAATGTGAACTTGCCACGACGTCCCTCAGCTGCGACCTTGTGAGAATTCGGCTGGCTGACTGCAGGTACTCCATGGCTACCTTCTCCCGTGGGGTTGGTATGGCCACAAAGGGTTCAACATTGCCCAAGCTACTCATGTCCAGTGTAAGAGATACGTTGGACCCTCGCCTACATTGGAGGAAAATGCTATTAGGTTTTAAACACTGTATGGATTCTTTTCAGCACATGTTTGTCTTCCTGTATATACACATAATTCAGCGAGAACTATTTCAGAAATAAGGACCTTCTTTTAGGGTACCATAATTGATGATAGCAATTACTGTAGTTTCTCTACAGCAAACTGACAGTTTTGTTGTTGGAGAAACCACTCTGAACTGAGAAAATGAACTATAGTTTATTAAGGGATATAGCTGCTATGGAAATAATAAGATGGCTAATAAATGAATAAGATGGCTAATAAATTAAGTGAAAAATTTAGGAAAAGTAAACAGCATTTGAATTGAGGAATAAGATGTAACACAAACCTACTTTATCTGTATATCTGACAGTCCAGTATAAAAATTCTGTATCCACCCTAGCTAATATTTTTGACAGCAATATATTATACTTATGATTTTACTAAACTGAAGCTCAGAGGATAAAAATAATCTATTTATTTTAGTTCAAGTGATTGCCATTGAAATAGAATTTAAAAGTTCAAAATGTATTTTTTTATAGTTTCTGGTAAATTCCTAAAAGATAACTTTTTCATCCTGTATACATATGTATATATGATGTCTTGTATATGTATATATGCATATTTGTATGTACTTGCATATGTATGTATTTAATTCTGTGACAAACTTACAACAGGAAGACCACAGACCCTTATACTAAATTACAATTGAACCTCTCTCTGTGATTTCCCTCTTGTTGGGAGGCAAGGTGTGGTTCTTCCAACATATAAAGGCTCCCTGTGTCCAAAACAGAAGGTGTGAGTGCCTCTTACTAATAACATTAAGTGTATGGAATCAAGGAGTAACTATCAAATAGCATGTGTTGAGGGTCAAATAGCACATTAAAGTGCTGCACTCAATATGCCAGCAAATTTGGAAAACTCAACAGTGGCCAAAGGACTGGGAAAGGTCAGTTTTCTTTCCAATCCTAAAGAAAGGCAATGCCAAAGAATTTTCAAACTACTGCACAATTGCACTCATCTCAGATGCTGGCAAAGTAATGCTCAAAATTCTCTAAGCCAGGCTTCAATAGTATGTGAACTGAGAACTTCCAGATATTCAAGCTGGATTTAGAAAAGGCAGAGGAACCAGAGATCAAATTGCCAACATCTGTTGGAACATAGGAAAAGCAAGAAAATTCCAGAAAAACATCTACTTCTGCTTTATTGACTATGCCAAAGCCTTTGACTGTGTGGATCACAACAAACCATGGAAAATTCTTAAAAAGATGCAAATACTAGACCACCTTACCTGCCTCCTGAGAAATCTGTATGCAGGTCAAGAAGTAACAGGTATCTGTTTCACCCTAGATAATATACATGTTTCTATGCTGTTCTCTCGAAACATCCCACCCTCGCCTTCTCCCACAGAGCCCAAAATTCTGTTCTGTACATCTGTGTCTTTTTCTGTTTTACACATAGGGTTATCATTACCATCTTTCTAAATTCCATATATATGCATTAGTATACTGTATTGGTCTTTTCTTTCTGGCTTACTTCACCCAGGCTGGATGCATGAGACAAATGCTCGGGCCTGGTGCACTGGGAAGACCCAGAGGAATCGGGTGGAGAGGGAGGTGGGAGGGGGGATCGGGATGGGGAATACATGCAAATCCATGGCTGATTCATGTCAATGTATGACAAAACCCACTACAATATTGTAAAGTAATTAGCCTCCAACTGATAAAAATAAATGAAAAAAAAAGTAACAGTTAGAACTAGACACGGAACAATGGACTGGTTCCAAATTGAGAAAGGAGGTATACTGTCAAGGTTGTATATTGTCACCCTGATTATTTAACTTATATGTAGACTACATCATGCGAAATGCTGGGCTGGATGAAGCAAAGGCTGGAATCAAGATTGCTGGGAGAAATATCAATAACCTCAGATATGCAGATGACACTACCCTTATGGCAGAAAGTGAAGAGGAACTAAAGAGCCTCTTGATGAAGGTGAAAGAGGAGAGTGAAAAAGCTGGCTTAAAACTCAATATTCAAAAAATGAAGATTATGGCATCCGGTATCATCATTTCATGGCAAATAGATGGGGAAACAATGGAAACAGTGAGAGACTTTATTTTTGGGGGCTCCAAAATCACTGCAGATGGTGGCTGCAGCCATGAAATTAAAAGACACTTGCTCTTTGGAATAAAAGCTATGACCAACCTAGGCAGCACGTTAAAAAGCAAAGACACTACTTTCCTGACAAAGGTCTGCCTAGTCCAAGCTATGGTTTTTCCAGTAGTCATGTATGGATGTGAGAGTTGGACTATAAAGAAAGCTGAGCACCGAAGAAGATGCTTTTGAACAGTAGTGTTGGAGATGACTCTTGAGAGTCCCTTGCACTGCAAGGAGATCAAACCAATCAATCCTAAAGGAAATTAATCCTGAATATTTACTGGAAGGACTGATGCTGAAGCTGAAGCTCCAATACTTTGGCCTCCTGATGTGAAGAACTGACTCTTTGAAAAGACCCTGATGCTGGGAAAGATTGAGGCAGGAGGAGAAGGGAACGACAGAGGATGAGATGGTTGGATGGCATCACCAACTTGATGGACATGAGTATGAGCAAGCTCTGGGGATTGGTGATGGACAGGGAAGGCTTGCATGCTGCAGTCCACAGGATCACAAAGAGTCAGACATGAATGAGCAACTGAACTAACTGAGAGTCAAGGTCAGAGAGTGTATTTAAAGAATTTTTAAATTTAAAGGGGACTGAGGTGTGTGTCAGGTGATCAAATTTGGTGCCAAGTGGTTACTGTCCCAGGAAAATGGAGAGCTGGCATATATGAGCCAAAAAGAATCCAAGTAGAGAATACAAGCAGTTCAGGTTCAGTTCAGTCGCTCAGTCATACCATTGTATTCAGTGCCCCTGACCCTGCAGTAGGCCACTGTTGACCCATGCCTCCGCCAGAGACTCCTGAACACTCACAGGCAAGTCTGGCTCAGTCTAGCATATTACTTCCTTTAAATGGTGTTTAACGTGTATGAAGTACTACATCAAGAAACGCTGAAGTGGTTAGAGCTTAATTTTAAGAAATAGAAAATGATTAGAGCACACAACAAAAAATTCATTAAACAAAAATATATCAGTTCTTTCCTCTTACGAATCTGCCTCCAGTTGCAGCTTTGGTGTCATTCTACATTTTGATATATAATGCTGTCATTTTCATTAATTTCTAAATGGTTTGTAGTTGAAGTTTAATTCTTGCTTTAACTCAAGGGTAATTTAGCTGTTTGCCCACTCATTTTCCTTGTTAGTATCTAGAACATGAAATGTACATAGAAATCAGGATGAACTAGATTTCTAATTATTAGAATTTCTTGATGTTTTCTTTGAGACAAAAACTATAATAAACTTTTCTAAATATTTCATACATGCTTTTGCTGGCAGCTGATTTGGCTACTATCCATGGATATATTGATAAATATGTCTACATATCATATATATGTACATATATACATACCTATCACCTTATATATTATATTCTGATATATTATTAAAAATACTATTCCAATCTATTTTCTTCTTACTTTTTTCCTACTGGATTTCTCATAGCCTGAAATAGATATGTGAGTCTTCCACAGAATTGTTTGTTATTTCTCATTATATTTCTAATAATTTTTACATTATATGTTTCAGCTATTATGCTGTTTGGAGAGATTCATAAATATAGTTTCACTGTCAGTTTATCAATATTAAATAAATAATTTCTCATTAATTTTATGTCTAGCCTCACATCTGACTTTTCCCCCCAGTTTTACTGAGACACAATTGATACATAGCATTGTATTAACATAAGTTTAAGGCATATTGCATAATGATTTGGCTTACATATATTATAAAATAATTAACAATAAGCTTAGTTAATATCCATTATCTCGAATAGACACCAAAAAATGTTTTTTCCTGGTAATGGGAACTCTTGGATCTACTCTTAAAAGGTTTCAAATATACCATGCTGCTGCTGCTGCTGCTGCTAAGTCGCTTCAGTCGTGTCTGACTCTGTGCGACCCCATAAACGGCAGCCCACCAGGCTCCCCCGTCCCTGGGATTCTCCAGGTAAGAACACTGGAGTGGGCTGCCATTTCCTTCTCCAGTGCATGAAAGTGAAAAGTGAAAGTGAAGTCCTCAGTCATGTCCGACTCTGCGACCCCATGGACCGCAGCCTACCAGGCTCCTCCGTCCACGGGATTTTCCAGGCAAGAGGACCGGAGTTGGGTACCATTGCCTTCTCCACAGATATACCATAGACCAGTGTTAATAGTCATGATATTTCACATCACATCCCTAGTACATGTTTATGTTACAACTGAAAGGAGAAGGAGACGACAGAGGATGAGGCAGTTGGATGGCATCACTGACTCGATGGACATGAGTGTGAACAAGCGCTGGGAGCTGATGATTGACAGGGAAGCCTGGCGTGCTGCTGTCCATGGGGTCGCAGAGAGTCGGACACGACTAAGAGACTGAACTGAACTGATTGAATTCACACTCCCCTAAACCCCACATCCGACTTCAAAATTTAATATTGACTACCTGCCTTTTTTGAGTATGTTCCTAAAAAGGCTTTTCGGTTCCTGTTATTATTTTTAACTCTCTGAATCATTGTATTAGGGATTGGGGGATAGCATAATGGCCACCCCATAAAATACTCACCTACCTGTTAAGGGGGCTGGCTGCTCCCACCAGATTTTCCTTCTTGGGGCCTGTCAGTGGTGACTGACAGAGCGCCTGTGTTTCCGAGCAGGAGATAAGTAGCTGAGGAGGAGCAAAGTGTGCTTCTACATTCACGCCAAGAATTTTAATCTGTTTCTAGTGGGAAAGTGGTTTTTAAAGCTTCTCAGTCCAGTTCTCTTGGCCTTTAAATTGCAGGAATTCCTAATTCTGATAATAGTTTGCCTATTGGCCTTAGATTTTTACTATATTTGTAAGAATTTGGTGGTTACAT